AGCGACTTACGCACTTAAAATACACCTCTGCTAAAGAGAACGCAGCCTCCCTCTTTTTCGAACTTACGGTAGTTCGATGTGGCCATGCGACTGCTATAAATTAGGGCGCCGTATTGGTTCTGCTTCTCTTCTCCCTTTATCGACCATACGGATTGGACCATAATCCCTACTGCTCCTATTTTTCTCAACCGATTTGAATGGTTGTTGTTTTGTTCGAAAGGTGTTTCAAAGAGGAGGTGCGCATTATGCTTATTTTTCCGGTAGGTGGAGCAGGAGTCGATTTACTCCGAAAAATTTCATGTGTGGTCCGATTTGCTTTAAATTCAAAATACGTGTTGATGGCATCAATAGAAATATACCTATATATATATCTATTAGACTGCTTCAGAAAATACCTTTCCAATGATATCTCACAAGTCTTAATCGGGAGAGTTTAGGCTCAGTTATTCAACTTTTCTTATACCAATCTTTGAAAAAAGTTAAAAACAGCATCAAAAATCGCATTATTACGATTCCGTTTAAATTTTTTTTTTAAATTTTTTAAAAATATTTTTACGCAATTTTTTAAGCTTGAACTGTTTCGTCATTTGAGGGGATTTTTTCAAAAAAAAATCTTTAAAATCAGCTTGGTTTGTAAAGCCGCTTGTGAAAAATTGAATCAGAAAAATTTCTGCAAAATAGCCGAAATCGTACCCTTTTCTTCCCGTTTTCGGATTAATTTTCGGATTTTTTGCTGGCTGGGCCAGTGATGGAAAAGTAGGCACAATAGTGCAATTTTTGGCAATTTCATTCTCAGATGCAATTTTGGCGCAATTCATCCTGTTTTGGCAGGATCATAAAATATAGAAATTGAGCATAAAATGTCAATATATAACAAAAATCACATACCACGTTATAGATGAAAAAACTACAAAAAGTGAAAATTAAAAGTACTAAAAATATAAATAAATAAGGGCCGCGAGAAATAGTTACAAACCGCTGAATGCTATTGTGAATACGCAGTACGAAAAGTAAGTTTTCGCAACAACAAGCTTTTAATTCAGAATTTTTGTAAAGATTCTAAGTTTGCAGTTTTGTAGTCCATTAAATAAAAGTGCAAGTTTCTGCAATATCCCTATGATTTTTGATATTTTTTTTCTGATGGTGTCATACATTGTCATCCATTTAAAAAATATTTGAACACATTTTATATAAAAAAAATGCATAAAATCGAAAACTTGGAATCTCCCTAAAAATTCTGAACTCAAATTTTGTTGTTGCGAAAACCTGCTGAATTTTTATACTTTTTGTACAAATTTGAAATGCCGAATTGTGCACATATAGTGTGTTTATTAAGTTATGAATAAGACTTTTATATAAAATAAATCGAGCAATTATCAATGAAAAGAATAGGCGAAACTGGCCAAAATGTCTCACTGCCATTATTTCGCATATAGGTACATGCATACATATGTATGGGTATAAAAATTTCAGAATAGCTATATTTCGGTATATTTCCCCTCCGTAATTGGAATTCTTTTTAATTTTACTATGAATTTATGTATATGTCTAAGGAATCCTTCATAAAAGTAATTTACTGTTATAATTTAGTTAATTAATAATTATTATATTACTGCAGTGTATTTTAAAAATATTATTCCTAAAAATATATTGTTTTTAAAATGCCTGAAAGAAATTTACTTTTGTGGCACTTACATCTTCTTTTCGGCACTATTTTCGAAGACCATTAGGCACATTTTGAAATTTTGAAATTCCATCCCTGGGCTGGGCTGTTCTTGTAACAAGCACAGCAGCTTCACGCACGTGTATATTAGAGTGGCCTCTTTTGGTCGATTTTCTAAAACCGAAAGTTTTCGCACGAAAAAACATGAGGTTGGCAAGGAAAATAAATATGAAATTTGTTTTTTCCGGATCCGGAAATTCCGAGTGCTTCCGGGTTGATCATTTTGATTTTTTAATAGGAAATATGTTGAAATTAAAATTATTATTTTAAATTTTCAGCTTTTACGATTATGAAAAACAATTTTTTATTCCTGAACTGTTTTTTATTGAAAACTAAATACATTTACCTTTTTAAAGTGCTCAAAAAGTCTGAAACCATGGAAAACCATGGTACACGATAATATTAAAGCTGCGAAAAATATGAAATCATCATTTATATCAATATATCATTTAATATCTAATAATAATAATATTTAATATCATTTTAAATAAAGGATAATGTATAATTTTTCTAATATATACTTAAAAAAAAGATGCAAAATAAAAGAAATTGGTGTAATTTCGACATTTTTGGTCGAAAAAGCTCAACCCGGAACCTCTAGGAATCACCTGAAGGCTTTTAAACTAATTACGTATTTATTTTTATCCCCAACCTCACATTATTCTGTGCGAAAACTTTTGGATCTATGCATTTAAAATTTTTCATACAACAAAAAGGTCACTCTAGTGTATATGTTACTTATTCTTTGGAACTTCACAATCACACTGTGAAAGATCGAATCCGCACGATTTTAGAAGAAGTCGAGAATGAAGTTATATGAAGTTTGAAAACGTGTGAGATTTTTAGTTTGTCACTTGACGACAGTACCGATATAGTGGGACTTAATGTTCTTCTCGTGTTAGTGAGGTACCCATTCGTAATACAAATCGAAGAAGAACTTTTGATGAGCGAAGTACTTGAGACTTACACCACTAGCGTCGAAATTTTTAAAGCTATCAAAAAATTTTTACAGAAAAATTGTTTGAAATGGAGCAAGTATGCGGATATTTTCAGTGGATGGAAAAACGAAAGGAGCGATGTCTAGGATGACGCAAGAGGCAGAAA